TAATTTGTGTATAATAAAGAATTACTAAAGTAATAAAAGCACTTAATTGTTCTGTTTTGTTTTATAGAGTAAATCAAATGTCTCAAATTTCAGTAAATATTTGATAGTTATAGGTTAGTTAGACATTGCGATGAGTGGAATATTGTTTTAAAGCTTAAAGGATACCTGTAGTGGGATTTTTATTTATGCTCTTTTGAAAGAGCGTTCAATTTTATCTATACATTGCGCTAGCAGTTTTGCTAGTAAATATATAGATTAGGGGGGAAAACTATTTGAAAATTGTTTTCTCTTTCAGCGGTCAGTCAATGCCTCAGCAGAAAGAAAGAAGAGGAGTTAAGGGCTGCGCTATTTATACAGAGAACAGTACCAAAAAATAGAAACCGATTGGTTGAGGTGTATAATCAGCAAGTGATAAAACCTGGGTATAATAGTTTCTATTGCAATTATATAAAAATAATGAATAAAACTGAGTCCATCCAGATGTCCAATAAAAATCAAATGATAAAATATTGAATAAAATCAGTCTCACTAATATATGGATTGGGTTTGTATACAATCCTCAGGAGTTGATCCGTCCGGGTTGTAGATAATCCGTATATGTGGAGATAGAAGAAAACACAGAGAACTGCCAATGGTGAAATATTGTAGCTCCAAGGGTAAAAATAAGTAGAAAGGAGGATTGTACACTCACATTTGGTGGAATTATCCCCACCTATGGATTTCTATGAGGCTTTTTCAAAAATGGTAATAATCTATTGGTGGGGATAATTCCACCAGCGCTGTGGCAATAGAGCAGTATTGTTCTGCTCTATTCTTGTGAGTATATTTCATTTTATTTTATTTATTTTATTGTTCTTACTGAGAGCACTATTTGCTGTTTCATATACCTTGTGGAATACGACGGAACCTAAGCCGGACGGACGGACTTACCCTTCCAATACCCTTCAGTGGGGATCATACCACCTAGTGCCTTTCACCCCAGAGCCGGTCCTAACTACACCAAATTAATCCATAGGTGGTGATAATTCCACCAGCGCTGTGGCAATAGAGCAGTATTTTCTTGACATACTACTTAGATAAGTTAACCCACTGACAAAAAACAAGCCAGACATCAAATATCAATCCCTATGACTTACCTAGGGTGGGAGAAGAAAAATGTGGAACGTAACTGAAAACGTACCTGTTTTGGGTGGGCTAATATTCACCTCCGTGTCCTTTATAAAATCATGACTTTAAATCATGTAATTAGTAAAATCTGGTAATTTTATTAAAGGATACGGAGGCTCATATTATGCTGGTTTAAAGCTGTGAAATAACCATCAATGATACATGTTCTGTATTGTGAAAATAATACTCTTTAACGTAGATTCACGAGACCAATCTGCTGTTCGCAGTAGGTCTTCAAGCTTACATCATAAGTTAATAACCTTAGAAGCCATGGCTCCTCCAGTAGAACGTGCGCCACATATGGAGGTATCTATGTGCACCAAAGCCCTTATCCATTTTACCCAGCAGGCTAGTGTCGCCGTAGATACGGGGTGATGAGGTAGTTCAGTAGCCAAGAACAGCTTGTGATGTGCTGGGTCTCGAAATGCCTAAGTTTGTTTCTCGTATTCCCGGAGACATGCCACTGGGCAGAGGTTCATGTTGTGAGGAAATGATGGGTAGAAAACTGAAGTAATTGATGATTTAGTACGTCTGGGAATGTTGAAGGAAACTCCTGTAGTGGAAAGGAGCGTGCGTCAATCTCCAGTGCTCGGACATCTGAAACCCGTTTGCATGATATCAGACAGAGGAGCATGGCCAGTTTTTCTGATAGTGGTTTAAGCGTGAGGTCTGCATTCTGTGGCCAGGTTCCCAGCAAGGTCAGAACCAGGTTCACATCCCATACTGACTTATATCGAGGTTGAGGTAGTCGTGCAAATCTAATGCAATGTAGGATTCGACACCATAAGATGTTTACTGGCTGGGGAACCCTCTAGTCCATGATGGCCAGCGGAGACCGCTGATATATAGAAATTAATAGTGCGATAGGCCAGAACTTGGTCATATAGGCCCATAAGAAAACACAATAGGCAGTTCACAGGAGCACATACGGAATCCACTTGTTGTTCCATGCACAAACGACTCCATGTGTTCCAGGTATGACCGTAGGATTGTCTTGTTCCAGGGGCCCAGGCTCCCACAAGTAATTCAAGAGTTGATTGTGGAATGTCTGGCACGACCCAAGGTCCCCGAAGAGGGGCCACGCTACAAATCTGAGGTGTCCCTGTACCAGAAGGGGAGTGGGTTCCCATCAGAATCCAGTAGGAGGTGCGTTGATTCGGGGAGCAGTCTGGGAAGATCTATGGACATCTCCATGAAAAAAGGGAACAAAGGCTATGCAGTCCAGAATGGGGCTGTGAGAACCATAGACGTCCATGATCAGCTGAGGCTTACTAATGTCCGAGCCAGTAGGGAGAAAGGAGGAAATGCATAAAGTCGTCTGTCCGGCCACAATTGGAGGAAGGCATCTGTCACTGTCGCTAGAGAGTCCGGGTCCGGCCTCAAAGAACAATGGGAGTTGGGAATTAAATCGAGACACGAACAGGTCGATATACATCGGGCCCCAGAGCATTTGCAGTTGTAGGAAGGCATCGCGGTCCAGTTGCCAATTGGAATTCCAATCCGCTATTGTATTGGACAGACCTGGAATGTATTCTGGTTGTACTGATATATTGTGATCCAGGCAATATGCCAGGATTCCGTGGCAAGGTCCGTCAGTATCTTGGATCTCGTGCTGCCCAGATGGTTGATGTAGCGGACTGCCGATATATTGTCCATTTGCAGAAAAATTGAGCAATTGATCGTGAGACCGAGGAGGCTCTTTAGGGCGAACAATCCCTCCATGAGTTCCAGGCCACTGATGTGAAGCTCTTTTTCCGATAGGGAACATTTTCCTCAACTGCGCATGCTCGCAACAGATTCTATGACAAAATCCGGGGCGGTCCCAAAGATCGCTCTGCCATTCCACGCTTCCATATGTTGCAACCACCAGGTGAGTTCCTCCTTGGCTGTGTAGTCGAGTGGAACGGAGTTGGAGTAGGAGCGACCCAAGCGTAAGTGTGCGGCCTTTAGTTGTTGAAGGGCCCTGTACTGAAGAGGCCCCGGAAAATCGCCTGGATGGAGGCTAAGAGAAGTCCGATTATCCTGGCCAGTTGTCGTAAGGTTAACACTGGGCGAGCCTTCCTGATGAGTTTGATCTTTGTGGGCCTTAGGCTGAGGATCCCGTGTACCCCATCTATGTTGAATCCCAAGAATTCCGTGGTCAGGGAAGGGGTTAGTACTGACTTTTCCCAGTTTATCATTAATCCTAACTTTTATAGGAGGGACAATGCCCAAGAGAGATGTTGACAGAGCTGCTGAGCATTGTCCGCCATGATCAGCATACTGTCTTAGTATATGATGGTAACGAACTGTCCCCTGCACGTGGAGAGATCCACCAGGGAGAGGCACGAGACCTAACCGATACTCTGCAACTAACAGGCGGCTTCACAATCGCAGAGTCCCTGCCGACCAATGGGAGAAACGCTACCATTCAAATTGGTTTTGCGCCCTTTCTCCCAATTGGTCGGAAAAACACCTCCCCTCCCTGAATGTGGGTCTTCTTTGTAGCCTGACGGCTGCTAGGGACCACTGGCTTATCCTCTTAGCCTTGGGATGTGTCAGACTAGAGGTGTGACCAGACGCCATAATGGCATTGGTAATAGAGTGGGACAAGTTGTCCGACATCGCTCCCATCACAGAATAAATGGCCTGGGTGACCGATTTGGTCGTTGCAGCATCCAGAAGTGAGTGGAACTCCTCTGAGTACACTTGCTCCAGTGAAGCTAACTCCTCCCCCTGATGGGTGGGGGGGTCTAGGAGCAGGGGTCAGCTGGCGCATAGTGGCACTCTCAGCAATGGTAGGGATAGTACCCTCGAACTCCTTAGAGGTCTGCATAATAAGCAATAAGGGATACCACAATAACAAGGAGACTACAAGAGAGGAGAAACCAAGAGAAGAAGGAGGTAAAAGACAAAATGGAGGGCCCCAAACAAGGAGGGCCCTGATCAAATACAAGCAAAAACGAAAAGGCACAAGTTGTGAGAAAACCCAAAGGCAATCAAGCACAAGAAAAAACAAATACAGCAAAACTATGACGGAGCAAATTATTGGTGACACTTAGCTGAGGCAGCAGCAAAGAAAGAGGAGTGGCTAATGGTCACAAGGGATGACTTGGCTATGTGGACTGCTCTCATTGGCTAAGATGCTATGCTTAACCCCTTTAGGGTACTTGTTTCAGTTTTTTCTATGAATATCTTTTATCCTTCCTTTGCTGCTGAGGAATAAAGAAAGAGATAACGCATAATATGAGCCTCCGTGTCCTTTAATAAAATTCTGTACTTCTCCTCATTTGCATTATGTGCCTTAATTGTGCCTGGGCTCAAGTGGATCGCTTTGACACTTGCCAATTATTTAATTTACATTTTAAATGTTAAAAAAAAATAAAAAAATTACTATTGTTAATTTTTTTTTGTTAAAAAGTGTTTAATACTTATGTTAAAAAATATATATATATATATTAACACAAATTATAGTTGATTTTCAAAGTTTAATGAATAACAAACTCATTTGTTTACATTCACTCAGATTTTTCTACACATTGGCACAAAGAATCCATGTCCCCAGGGGCTATATTGTCACAAGCCCCAGCTCATACACGTGGAGACAGGGAATGAAGGGTTAATTCAGGCAGCTGTCACCATGGTAACCAGACTGAAAGACCCCACTTTATAGGTGTCCGGTGAGCGCCTGCACATAAAGTCAATCCCATCACCGTTTAAGACGCGGTAAACCGCATGATTACCACGAACTCTTCCAATATATGTATGGTAACACCACTTCGTGGCTCTTCTCCTAATGAAATGACATATTGGAGACAGGCATTGGCGTGGACAGCCCGTGTGCAGTAGGAACCCGGAAGTGATGACGTGTGCGGGGCAAAGAGTGTGCTAGAGAGCTGGGGTTCATTGACTGGCTGGGCTGCTACCAATAAGGCATCAATAATCGATTGGTGATCGATAGCCCCAGGCTGATTGGCAGCCATGGAGACTTTATATCACCAGAGTAACAAGTGAGTGTCAGAGCTGGGCTGGTGGGGGAGATTTGAGCTTTATATCCCCAGGGGGGCCATTATGGTCTATCCCAGGGCTTTATATTGGGGTCACAGACAGGGGGGATATCTCCACCCTGGGGGGTATTCACTAAACTACGAATTGGGGGGAATGGAAACAAATATGAAAATTTTGGGGGGGTAAAACTAGCCAAACTGGTGACTATAGCTGAGTTGGGCAAATGTTTGTTTAATTTTTTGTCCAAAAAATGTAAAAATTTGTGATAATTCATTCACATTTTTAGGGAATTTTAAACCTTTTTCGCTGGTTTATTTTGGTAATCAGCAAATCCTTTTAGATCCGAATACTGAATTGCGAAGTTAAGATTAAAATGATCTAAGGCAGATATAGTGACAGGTTGGCTTTTTTTTTTTTTTTAGCCTAGATTTCGCAATTCAGCTTTCTGTTTGCAAGGTGGTGAGTAAATCCTTGGGTGGTTTCCTACATGCATAATTTTAAATTTATTTATGCTCACGTCGCCATTACCACTACATGGGCACTATAGTGGTAATGGTGCTTGGAGTTTCCTTTTAAAAATTCAAAAGTTTGGCTGTGGTGGACTTAATTTCTGATGGTGTTTAGTCATCCCTTACACTGGCTAAACAACATATTAACTGTAAGATTCTAAAAGGCAGAGGGACGAACATTAGTGCTCACCTCTTCTAGGACGGCCAGACTAAATAAAAAAAAAAAAAAAAACTTAGTTCTGATATGTTCAATTTCCATAAACCTCTATGGATAATGATGACATATGTTCACTCATCAGTTATTGCTATAAACAAAATACACAATTAATAATATGTGTTGAGAAATGCTTTTAGACCTTCTTTTCTGCCCTCACCTACTCTTCTTTTTACTTGATTTTCCTGCCCTATGTGTTTCTTTCAGGCATGTCCATGAAGTTCAGTCTCACATGGGACGTCTGGAGACGTGTGACAAGCAGTCAGTGCACCGTATGTATCCATACAGCTATTTTAAAACTTTGCTGCCCTACTGTAGAACATTTAAACACATGCTGATTTACTGTATTCTGAAACCAGTTCATAAGTGGGCCTGGCATGAACAGATCTATGTGGATAGGAATTGATCCTAATAAGCTCTTGATGGCTTTTGCAACAGTACTGATATAACTGTGGGAATTAAGGGGTTACATCTTATTGAATAACAACAACAACACAAGGAGTGTCACATCTGGCCTGCCTTGTCAGCTGCACTGCTCTAGAGAGTTATACACAACTCTCAGAGGTAAAATAAAAAATATTTTAGCATAGAGTTGTTATTGTAGATGGGTTGATCTCCTGCAGTGCAAACTGTATCAGATACAAAAGGGGGACCAATTCCTTATTTATTGAGTCAAGTCTGAGATTCTTAACTATTACATTTGATCTAAAATAAAACTCTTAGCAAGATATGAATATACACTTTTATATGGAGTAGCAACCAGGCACAGTCAGAAAAACCGAAATGATAGGTGTTAATATACAATTATCAGTTGGGGTATGTATTATATATATATCTACTTTGTTGCCGATTCCATTACAGGCAAACCACATTCAATCTATGTTCCCCTCTTGGTTTCGGGTCTGTAACTTGTAAATATTGGTTCTGGTTTTACTTCTTCTCCTTCATTCAACACTTTGCCTTTACCCTCTGTTTATATAGGGTTAATCTTATCTGTGTAACTTGAAAATGCTCACGTCATTTCTGGCATCACAAAGCTCGTTTTCACATTACTCACCCTCCAATCAGATCTTCACAGTAGCATATTTAACGGTTTTCCGTTCACTTCATTAAATGTCTTGAGAAAAGTCTGAATAGACTGAAACATCGACTTGTTTGTGTGAACCACTGTATTTGCTTAATAAACCAACAGTTTGAAACTATTATTAAGACTCCAAAGTGCTCTCTACGTTATACACTACGTTATACACACACACACACACACACGCGCGCGCTTTAGTCTAAGTCTGTTGTGACACCATTATTTGGAGCAAAATGTAGCAAATCTCTGTGATGGTAGTATCAAAGTCTCGTGCAGTGCAGAAGAGCAGCAGAGCTAAGTGCATTTTTTTTTTTTGCATTCACTCCAGACTCTGTGCAGTAGTATTTACTGGGAGGTGAGAGAACAAGGAGTTTAAAATGCATTTATAAAATAGCCCTATGCAACAGGAAGGAATTGGCTGTTTTATTCCTATTCTAGATTATCTGAAATGCATTTTTAAAGACCAATGCTATAACGTTTCATGAATGGGTGCAAATTAACTTTGGATACAGGAAAAGGTGGTTTTGCGCACACAGTGGATGCTTGATGAGATAATCTGCAACATAGACAGCTATCATAGGGCAATATGCATAAACCAATAACTGGTATAAGAAATAATTAGGAGCACTCACACTTTAGAGAGCCATATGAGTCGGCTCTCTACTGTAGTAGCATGTAGAATACACTGTAGTTGAAGTGGTCCCCCAGGAACAAGAGTCTGGATACAATCAGGAACCAAAAATAAAATATAAATAAAGTATTTTATTTAGAAATAAAAACTGGATAAGCACAATGCGTTTCGACCATTCAAAAGGGTCTTCTTCAGGTGCAATGGGGGACAACTTCAACTACAGTGTATTCTACATGCTACTACAGTAGAGAGCCGACTCATATGGCTCTCTAAAGTGTGAGTGCTCTTAATTATTTCTTATACCAGTTATTGGTTTATGCATATTGCCCTATGATAGCTGTCTATGTTGCAGATTATCTCATCAAGCATCCACTGTGTGCGCAAAACCACCTTTTCCTGTATCCATTTGTATTAATGTAAGTGTTTTATAGGTGACTAAAACACTGGTTTGGTTTTAGACGCACTGGGATTTGTTATTTATCTATTTTTTGTTTAGCGCCACTTATCCTATTGTTTGTGTTTACAAATGAACTTTGCAACTTATCACCGGGTTTCTATTTAGTGTTACACACTGTAACCGGATTACATAACCGTTTTCTTTATTCCATAAGCACTTTGTGGATACAGTTTGAAGAACAAGGTGCATGTTTACTATATGCCCTGCATATTTCTCTTTTTGTAGTTGTGGAGAATGAAATCCAGGCAAGAATCGATCAGATATTCAGTAATCTGGAGCGACTGGAAATCCTGGCCAGTAAAGAACCCCCAAGTAAAAGACAGAACGCCAAACTGTGAGTAATGACGGCTGAGAGTTATTTCACTTATTCTGTTCTTCAGTGTACAGCCATATATAATACATGTGACACATACCAGGACTTGACAAATGTGCTTTGAATCTAGAAACCAGCTAAAAAGTTAGGAGACAGGTTTTTTTTTTTTGTTTGTTTTTTGTTTTTTTTAAACTAACAAAGCTTTATTTTCAGTGACAAAAAAAAACATCTTAAAGGGACACAATAGTAACTAAAACTACTACAGCTTAATGTAGTTGTTCTGGTGTCTATAGCCTGAAAACACCAAGAATAAGCAGTGTTTTTACATTGATGCCTAGTAAAAAACCTCTAGTGGCATCTATGTTCAGTGTCTCCACGCTCTGCTTCGAGGTGCTGAATGTTCCTCATAGAGATGCGTTGATTCGATAGCGCAATAACTTCCCAATGCTTTCCTATGTGAAAGCAATGGGTTGGCTGAGATCATAAAGATTGATGATCTCAGCCATACAGACAGAACGCTGCAGCATGGGAAAAAAAGGTGAGTAAAAACACTTACCCATGTGATTGGAGGGACGCAGGTCACCTAGATAATTTAACACTATAGTGTCAGGAATATGTGATTGTATTCCTGTCACTATAATGTTCCTTTAAATTTACACATAAATAAGATTAGAACCGAACGTCATGGGCATTTACCTGCAGATAATAAATATATTCTGACGTGACACACCAGATGTTTTTAGCAATGCATCAGTTGTTTCCACATGGTTTTTTGTGCTAATGAACAGGCCTTGCATTTTTACGATTACAGTATCAATACTCACATTTACTCACTGACACACACACTTCTCTCAAACACTCACAAATATGATTTGTTTTATTTTAATTAACGTCCATCCTCCCTACTTTTGGGAGAGCTGAAGTGGTCCAGTGTGGATCCTGTACCCGGGGTCCAGTGGAGCTGCTGGGATCCTGTACTCTTCAAGCTCTTCTTGTCCGCTCCGTTAAGTGAAGAAGGGGCCAGGGTGATGTCGTATCACAGCAGGGCCCACAAGGGAGCAGAGCAAGAAGAGCAGGAATATTACAGCTCACTCACATCTGCCTCCTTTGCTCACAGTCACCCATCTCAGGGGGCCCTAAAGTTACCAGCTCTTTGCCCCCCACGATAGATGGAACACAGAGGGCCCAGTCGTACTCGTGACCTCAACGACCCCTGTATTCCGCCACTGCACCAGCTGTGTTAAATGGGCTGACAAACAACTAGTCGCCATGGTGACCTGGTGAATGTGATTTGTAGAGCCCTGACATATACAATGATAATGTAATGTGCACTGACCCAATAGCCAATACATTATGTATTCTGTATAGGTCTCGGAATCCACTAGTCACTGGCATAGTGTGCGGAGGCTTGCAATGACGAGTACATTTTAAGGCCTTGCTATTGGCATATGACTTTAAATATTAGGCCCTGTGCGTATATGTACAGTGCATTCAGAAATTATTTAGACCCCGTTCTTTCTTTTTTTATATTGCAACCATACTATATTACGCGCACACGCTGCACTTTGTTTTTTTGGGGTTTTTTTCTGTCTGACTTTATATAATTCTGTGAAGTGGTTTTCTGAGCCGCAAAAAAAAAAATAGATATTCCTGTTTGCAGAGCTAATTTTTTTTTTTTTTTTTATTACATCATTGCAGATTTTCTCCAGCTGTGTGAATCTGCCCAATGAATTCTGACACACACACAGCTGTACACTTACTAGAAAAGACCAAAAAAAACCCCACTTTTTAAATTTTTGTCTTGAGAAAAATGCACTACATTTTTTTTTTTTTTCCTATTTTTAATTATTGTGTATTTTTACTCGCAAGCAGTAGTGTTGAAACCTTAAAATAAACATATATTAACACATTCTGCATAGGAGAATAGCTGGAAAGTTAAGAGAGACAAAGCACAAATCTAAACGGATTGCTCTCAGTACTGGAATTCAGAGCGAGACCAGCATAGAGGAGTCCGTGGAAGAAAAAAAAAAACTCAAAATATTTGAAAGGCTGATCACAGCTGTGCATCAGAATTCAGATTGTTAGTGACTTCTTAATTATTTATTTTTGGGCCAAGTATGGCAACATTCTACCCACCTAAACTGTTTAATTTGGTAGCAGTGTGTCTTTAATTAAAGAGCATATTCACCTATTTTAAGGAGAGTAATGGATGTACATTTAAAAACAATATTTCCAAAACTTTGGTTCCATGCACTTGAGGTGTGTGCTATGTGTAATTTGTCTTTTGCTGAATGTAGGGAATCATGGGATAATTTGTAATCTTCATTGAGTGCTGTGCTCAGCCAGAACAACTTTACATTTGATGAAATTAGATAGTTTATTGTTTGCGTATTTAAAAAAAAAAAATGTGGGGGCTAATGTTTAAATAAGAATCATAATGCATAATGTTTGCACTATGGTTCATCCAAGACTTTACACAGCCATGATGGGTTTCTCTCAACCAACTCGTCTTTTATGTGTCTCTGCACCCTAGGACCCCTGAATATGACTACGTTTTACAATTTTTGAGTAGGGGAGAATCCATCTTATTCTTTAATTAGAGGAAGCTGTTGGCAGGATGTATTTTCCTTTTTATAGGTATCATTAGATACGTCTGCGAAGCATGGAATTTGTTAACGAAACATTTTTTCTGTGAACGGAAGCAGGAACACAATTCTCTACAATCTACTGCCTCAAAAGCTCCTGTCATATGTTTTTTGTTTTTTTTAATGGGTTGAAAAAAATGTTTGTGGCCATATCTGCGACATAATCTGGACGTGAAATAGTTGTTGAATAGATCAGAATAATCATTTACAAAAGAGGCAGGAGGGAATTGTGATAGTTCTGAGACTGGCATGCACCCACTCTCCCAGATCACCCCCCACTTACGCATACTTTTAGATTCCATACCCCCTCAGGGCGGTTTTGTGAAGCTTTTTATTGAGGCAGGTCATAAAAAGGGCACAGAACAGGTTTCCTGTGTACAGTTGTGGGGCCTGTGAGCTGCGTTTCCACACTGAGCAGGTAAATGCTTGTTAACTCTTTCTGTGGCAGCCCTTGGCCACGTGACCAAACTCACAGGATCTAGTCCATGTACAAGTCATGTAGTAGTTATGGTATTTTAGAAAGTTGACCTGATATGAAACTTTGTGTCTGGCAATGGATTATGTGAATTGCAGTGCTACAACATCTGGATTGTGACAGCCCTTACATCAGGCTTTTAAGTTCTGTAGGCCAGAAATTTCTAACGTTTTGCTATACTTACCATAATCTTAGTTAGATAATCACCTTGCTGAGTGCCATGGAAAGCTTAGTCCACACTGGAAGAATGCCAAAGGTTACCTGTCAGTCAATAAGGCTAATCTAAATTCACTTTTTCACTTAACAGCAAGTTCAGAGGATACTGCACTGCCCAAGTAGTAGTGCTTTTAGTATACATTTTCAATTAAAACACTAGCTACTGTTTGCTCTAGACACATTTTCAGGGTCATTGCTCAATAATTTTTATTTCGTGGTCTGGGACCTAACACATGCGTATTTGTTTTCCCTCTTTCTCTCACTATCCAATAGCGTAATCAACTTTTATATTATTTTGTTTATAGGCGTGTAGATCAGCTCAAGTATGACGTGCAACATTTACAGACCGCCCTGCGAAATTTCCAACATCGGCGATACGCCCGGGAGCAACAGGAGAGGGAACGGGAAGAGCTGTTAATGAGGAATTACACCACAAATGTAATTATCTTTATGATCCAAGGAAAATTAGACATTGAAAAAGGGGTTGAAAATCCGGTTAACAAAAACTTCCATTTCATTTTGGTGCATATAAAAACCTTAATAAATATTTTCCCTTTGTTAAAGGGACATCGCTGATTGGAATCAATTTCCTGTTTTAGATAGATAATATAGGTGATGCTTCAAAGAAATTGAAAAAAAAAAGACATTCCTCTACAGCTCACTCTTTAAAGGGACACTCTAAGCTCAAATACAAAAATGTAGTTTTGGTGTAAAGAACATGCCCCTTCATTCTCATTCTTCAATTCTCTGCCATTTATTAGTCAAATCATATTGTTTCTGTTTGTGCAGCCCTAGTCACACCTCCCTCAAAAAGTTTCATTTTCAATCAGATCTTACAGCACAGTGTGTTTAATTTAGAAGTTTCCATCTGCTGTTCTGTTAATTGAACTTTAATCACACACAGGAGGCTCCTGCAGGGTCTAGAAGGCTATTAACAAAGCGGCAAATTGGAAATTCTAAATTAAAGAGACTGAACAATTAAGGTTAAAAATAGAGTTTAAACATTGCATCTCATTTTACAGGAAGTGTGTGTACAGAAACTGCATAGGTCACGTGCAGGTGTGTTAGGTTTGCTTATGTGTTATTACAATTCATTTAACAGTGCAGGAAATAACTTCTAAAGTAAACACACTCGACTGCACAATCTAATTGAATATTATAACATTTTTACATGTTGGCTGTGGGAGATGCATCAGAGGAGGTGTGGATCGAGCATAAACAGAAACAAAAGTTATTTAGCTTCTTAATAGCAGAGGATTGAGCAGTGAGACTGCATGGACATGATCTATACACCAAAACTGCTTCATTAAGCTAAAGTTGGTCTGGTGCTTAGTGTCTATTTAAAGTTTTCCCCAGGCAAGAATCAGTCTTCTTTTTGACTAGGAATAGGTTCCCTCTATTAGTAAGCCCTCATTCTGGAGTCTGATCATATTCCTTAAACCCCTGTGCAGCAAATAGCAAGAGTATATGGGAATTAGTTGAACTGCTCAATAAGCAGATAGTAACCATAGCAGTGTAGTTTATTCTTCAAAAGCTTGTGATCTCACTGTTGGCCATCTAGTATTAAAAATATTTTATGCATCACTGAATTATTAATTGTGACTACCTGAAAAATGTTTCTTTGGCTTCTAAAGTCTATACAGATTTCATTATTTTTCTTTCCTATCTATTGCACAATTTGCTCATTTAAATTAAACATTTTGGATAAATAAGGCAAAACAATACTGATCTAGAATAATTTTAATTCGATTCCCTGTAATCTTTTAAAAAAGTGCACCCTGAAATTGAATTTCTCTGCAGTCATACATGAAGTTTGCAATTTTCACTATATGTACTGGGCTAAGCATTATAGCTGGGGTGGCCAAAAGGTTGACCCCCACGGTATTGTAAGCCTACAGCTTCCGCAATGCTTTGTTAGCTTTTTTGCCACCCCTACGTTACAAAATTCTCCCTGGATTACATAACCAAAGGGGTTCCCCCTCCCCCATTTCTCACACAGGATTCAGAGACCTCCATACATATTGATGAGACCCTCCAGTTTAATTCCTCCGTTCGTAACGCCCACCAAGGGATAGACGACCTTCTGGGGAGTGGGAGCAATATACTTGAAGGGCTGAGGGACCAAAGGAAGACCTTAAAGGTGGGGAGTAAGTGGGGAACAACAAAATGTGGTTTGGAGGGGGGAGTCGTCTCAAAATGAAAAGGGGTACGACTGGGAACCATTGCTTGATTTGGACTGAAGATAACACATGTTTGTTCATTTATTTTTTTTATTTATTTTTTTACAGTAAATCCTCCTCACACGGCTCATTACCCTCCACTTATTCAGGTGGCTGCCTGTTTCTAGACAGTGGTTCTTAACTTTTTTTTTGGCAGGAACCCAAATTATGTACATGACATTACCTTAAATTATGTACATAGTATTAGCTTGGTGACTTATTATTCTATTGGAAAATTAGCTTATTAACTTATCCTTCGGATGTAATATTGATACATTTATTGTACACAAAACTCCTTTTATTAAATTCGTAGTAAAATCAAAGAGAAAAAAATTGATATTACAGTAAATAACTTATTGTGCACAATGGCATGATGAATATCATGAATCTAGATTTTTGTGGGGTTGAGAACCAGGGGATAAAACACACTGGCCTAGACTAAAGTTATACAGAAAATGCAAACTTCAAAAGAAATTGGCACTTTAAAAAAATTAAAGTAACACTATAGTTTGGAATAAATGATAAGTTGTCTGTTCCTCCCACCCCCACTAGTGGAGATAAAAGTGTGTTTACTCACTTGCCATGCCGATTTTGTCCCGGCTGACACTGCCTCCATGGCAGAGATCATTTGGAAAATAGTGATCACAATATGGTAATGTTTGGGAAAAAAAAAACCTCAAAAAAGCAAAAGCATGTGAGTGTACTAAAACATATAATTTAAAAAAACAATTTCAATAAGATTAGGGCAGCTCTACAACATATCGACTGGCATAAACTCCTTAGTGAAAAAAACACTGAGGATAAATGGAAACTATTCAAACAAATATTAGAAAGGTATATTTCTCAGTATGTACCATTGGGTAATAAATATAAAAGAAACAAAATAGAAACTAATGTGGCTTAGTAGAGAAGTAAAACAAGAGATTAAGAAAAGGGCATTTAAATCGGACAAATCAGAGGCATACTATATAAGAAAGCCAATAATGCTTGCAGTGAAAGTGGCTAAATTAGAAAATGAGAAATTTATAGCCAAAAATGCAAAACCAACCCCAAATTTTTTTTCAAGTACATCAATAAAAAAGCAAAAAATGAAAGTGTAGTTCCACTGGAAACAGAGATGGGTCTGTTAGTACATGAAGACCAGGAAAAGGCAGACATTTTAAATAACTATTTTTCTTCAGTATATATTAATGAGAATCCTATGGCAAGAGATATGCAAATGATTACTGCAAAAAACTTGCAGATAACTTGTGATTGGATGACTCGAGACAAGGTGCTACAGCAGTTAAAGAAAATGAATGTAAATAAAGCTCCGGGGCCTAACTGTATTCACCCACAAGTACTTAAGGAGCTAAGTGGGGAAATAAGTGAACCTCTGTATTTAATCTTTCAAGATTCTTTTGTTTCAGGTATTGTACCGGATGATTGGAGGAAGGCAGATATCGTTCCTATAATTAAAAAGGGTTGAATATCCTTGCCTGGAAATGATAGACCTGTGAGCTTAACGTCTGTGACTGGGGAAATATTTGAAGGGCTATTAATGGATAATATTCAGGAATTCATTGGGAAGAACTTTATTAGCAATAATCAGCATGGTTTTATGAAACATAGGTCATGTCAAACTAACCTAATTGCATTCTACGAAGACGTTAGTAGAAGTATAGATCGGGGTGTTGCAGTGGATGTAATCTACTTGGATTTTGCCAAGGCATTTGATACGGTTCCTCACAATAGGTTAGTCTTCAAACTAAAAGAAATTGGTCTTGATGAATATACTTGTTCTTGGGTAGAACATCGGCTTAAGGATAGAGTACAACGAGTTGTCGTTAATGGCATATTTTCAGACTGGATGTAAGTGGTGTCCCTCAGGGTTCTGTTTTGGGACCGCTTCTATATAAAGTATTTATAAATGATCTTGCAATAGGCATTGAAAGCCATGTCTTAGTGTTTGCAGATGACACAACTTTGTTAAGTAATAAAATGTGAGCAGGATATTGCATTGCTGCAGAGGGATTCAGATAGATTGGGGGACTGGGCACGAAAATGGCAGATGAAATTTAATGAAGAGAAATGCAAAGTTATGCACTTCAGGGTCAAGAATGCACAAGCAACTTGCATCCTAAATGGTAGTAAATTAGGGATAACTACACACGAGAAGGATTTGGTAATTGTTATAGACAACAAATTAGGCAGCAATATGCAATGTCAATCTGCAGTTGCTAAGGCCAGTAAGGTTTTTGTAAAGTATAAATAGGGGCATAAATTCTCAGGTTGAAAATACCATTTTGCCTCTATAAATCGCTGGTAAGACCACACCTTGAATATGCTGTGCAATTTTGGGCACCTGTTCTAAAGAAGGATATCATGGCACAAGAAAAAGTGCAGAGACAAGCTACAAAATTGATTAAAGGAATGGAGCATTTTAGTTACGAATGAAATTTAAACCTCTTTCATTTGGAAAAATGGCGCCTGAGAGAGGATATGATAACATTATACAAATATATTCGGGGCCAGTACAAACCATTATCTGGAAATCTATTCATAAACAGGGCTATACATAGGACACAAGGTCACGCATTTAGGCTGGAAGAAAGGAGAGTTCATCTAAGGCAAAGAAAAGTTTGTTTTTTTTTACAGTGAGAGCAATAAGGATATGGAATTCTCTGCCTGAAGAGGTGGTTTTATCAGAGTCTATACAGATGTTTAAACAGAAATTAGATAAATACTTACAAAAACATAACATACAAGGATATAATTTCTAATTAGTGGGGCAATAGCTGATTGTTCCAAGGACATATCTGACTGCTTTTTTGCTGTCAAGAAGGATTTTTTTCCCCAGTTTGTTGCAAAATTGGAAGCGCTTTAGACTAGATTTTTTGCCTTCTTTTGGATCAACAGCAAAAACATATGTGAGGAAGGCGAAACTTGATGGGCGTACGTCTTAGATAAGCCAGTTGTTTTACTTTCAGGTGTCTCATGACTAACATCCTGTCTGTATACAGCTTGGGTTTGCAACCAACACTGGCAGTATATAACTGTCATACTTTTAGATGTACTGTATGACTAATATTTGTGTCTGCCTGGCCATCAGAAGTTCTGTGTGGCTAGATCGTGGCTTTGGGGAGTATTTTATGGCAACTATTGTGTGTCTATGGCTTTTATAGTATTGTATGTCTCTTTGTGGCTTACATAAATATTGTAGGCCTTGTAGTGGAGCCTTCGTGGGTTTATGAAATATTGTAGGCCTTGTAGTGGTGTCTGGGTGTCCTTCAGAGGTGCTCTATGCCTTGCCGTTCTGCCTGTATGGCTGGAATTCTATGCATTGTTTTTAAGTTTAGAATGGCCTATCGGCTTCCTGTAAAATGTTCTGATTCTTTATTTGCAGGACCATTGGCGATGTTTCGTCATGAAATGTCCATACTTAATCTATGTATCCAGACGTGAATCAAAATTTTATTTCACAATGACCCTTGCTTTGTTTTTTTTGTTTTCGTTCTCTAATTTTTATTTGATTGCTAACACCCCTCTCCACTTGATTTCTCCCCTGAGTGTTACTGCCTGTTCCAACTCTTTTCTTTTTCAACAGGGAACCCAAAAGAAGATCCTAGATGTTGCAAATATGTTGGGCCTCTCTAACACGGTTATGCGTCTGATTGAAAAGAGAGCGTTTCAAGACAAGGCCATCATGATTGCAGGGATGCTGCTAACTTGTGTCATCATGATTCTCGTGGTCAAGTACCTGACATGAAACCTGGGCTCCCAGCATAATTGTTTAGAATGCCTTAGGTTCTCTCCTCTCCTCTCTGCTCATCCTGATATTCAGCTGTGAAAAGTCAAATTTTGCCACTGAGGACAGAGCGAGGGGGGGGGGGGGAAGAAACCCAGGCAAAATACTGACTAATGTACAGGACATCAATGGCGTAATTCCAGTGGCAATCTAGCCCCCGTGACTATTTTATTTAATATTCCTCAACTCGCCTCCCTGGTCACATTGCTTGTTCCCTGCTAAAATATGTGATACTTTGGAGCTCACTAAAGGAATACTTAATAGCAACTGTAATATGTTAATGCAGATGGACTCATTGGGCAGGAAGAGGCAACCAGTCCATGAAAGGCTGGCCAAGGACAAAAAGCTCGCAAATTAGCCCATATGGGAACTGGTCAATTGGTGGAAATACATCCATACCCTACCATTCATCAATGAAAGGACGGAAAATGCTGTTTACGGTGTAACTACGAGAAATGTGTAACGTGTGCAGTGGGCAGAAAACTGAAATTTGAAAAGAAACTAATTTATTTCATTTTTTTATTTCTTTCTTTAAACCAGTCTCTACATATTTGGTTGCTGGTCTGCCATCTACATGCTTTGATGAGAAAATTATGGGGCTGCATTTCTAATTCCGAAAGCACTGGCAGAGAGCAGGAACCTATCTGTTTAGGAAGTTTGTTTTCTTTGGTCATTATCAAATGCTCTCGTTGATCTGTTACTGCTGAAATGCAGAATGTCGATGTAAACATTTTAAGTTTAATTCTGTTCTGGACTAGTCTCAACTGCTTAATTTTGGAATTAAAGCTATTCCTTCTGCATTGACTGATTAATATGAGACCATATTAGATTATGAAGCCCTCTTGTGGACGGTAGCCTAGACCGAGTCTAGTCTACGGGGATGTGTGGAGTTTAGGTCGGTAGGGTTGGTACCCGCTGCTGCTAAGTTGGTCCGAACAAAGTCAGTGGAGGCTCAGTTTAGAGTAAATATTAAGCTTGCTATTTCATTGATATTTTACTTTCCTAACTAAATAAATTATAACACCCACCATTTCATTTATTTTCTGCTTTGTAAACTTATTAGCACATTGAGCAATGAAGGATGAGCTGATAGAGCCATTGGTATAGTCCTGAATTTGAATGTAAATGGTTTGACTCTAGGGCACAGTCTCATCAAATTAGTCTTCACCAGCAGAATGAAATTGTGTTTAGCCACCTCACCCTAATTTATCAGACCCCCTCCCTATTCTTTAGAGGTGATCTTCAACACTTACTGTGACATAAATCCCTGCTACCAATGCACCTCTGGTAATACTGGTTATATCTAAATACTACGTACTGTGACAGAGCTCCTGTGCTGCTACTGAGTACCTCTGCCAGAGTGGCCTTCACGGCTCTCCAGAAGTCTGTGACACGGGAGCTTCCGTCACACATACACTGGTACATTGTAAAGAAGGCATCTCTCCAAAGATGACCGTTTCAATTGTAACAGCTCACTTGCTTGAATACGTTAAGCTAATTAGGATAATTTCATGGTGGTGTACCTTAAAAGAGCAAACAATGCATTAAATATGTGCAACGATCAAACATTTTAAAAAATAAACTTTTGTTTTGCTGAGAAATCGTCAGGCTTGGCACCATCTGCAGTGAACTCTCATTAAACCAGGCAGTGACTAAATTCTAAAGAGAGATACTTTGTGCTGTCTTTGTGTATAAAAATACCTACAAATCCCAGAAGAGTGGCGTTTTGGGATCAAAAAAAGGTTGGGAAGAATAGACAGAAAAGGTGGGTTACGTAACAAAACTTAAAATGAATTTAAAAAGACGCAAAATCTACCCTTTAAGGGAAGCACGACTCCACAGCGGACCATGGTAAAGTATGCACATCTGTACTTCTACAGTTTGATTTATGCCACAAAGTGAGTGAGACTTATCCAAGCAGATATACGGGTCTGACCCTGGAACCCTTATTTATACTCTGTCAGACTTGGTATGAGCTTGGCAGGGACCCTCTCAGTCATTGTGTGTATATTTATAATAGTGTAATTATCCAAGTGTAAAGCCAGCACCTGGAATTAGGTGATTTGTTTATGAAAATCTCTATTAACCCCTTAAGGACACATGATGGAAATATTCCGTCATGATTCCCTTTTATTCCAGACGTTGTGTCCTTAAGGGGTTAAAGATCTCATGGTGAGATGACACATAGTGGCTGAAGGCTCATGTAATCCAACTGAACCCAGTTGGGGGAATTCTTGCTGTCAGTCTGTTCAATCCAGCAGGGTGCCTTTAGAAACCTGAATCCTAAACATGAGAAGTGTTCAAAGTTTTTACAGCTTAAATGCATTGATCAATCATCTATCACTAAAAGGATGGATTGGATGACCAGCACCTAAACGTTTATTGTTTTACAAAATAGGACATCTCCTCTTATCAAATGATTTCATGTATGTCTCTAAAACAGGCATAGGCCCTCCCATCACTGAAACTATTATTATTTATAAAGCGAGATCAAATTCCACAGCACTGTATATTCAATGGGTCAAAATAAATTTGATCACCAAAACTGCAAAATGAGGAGGAAAATTATGAAAAGCTTAGCTTAAAAAAAACCCCACTTTTTTAAATTTTGCTGTTTGCTTATAATTTAAATTGTTGATTCTTGGTTTAGTGTATAAATCAAAGAATTTACAAGAATAGGATATTGGCGTATAATTTAACCTCTGCGGCAGTGGAACGTAAATAACTTTACACCTAAGGCAAAGTTTTGCCTAAAATATAATTACGCACAGGACTGACGAAAGATTGGCTTCAGACTTGTTCTTCCCATGAATGATCAGACAGTTTTACGGCCAATGTTTTTGCTTCGTCAAAAACTAATCTGAAAGCAGAAATGAAAATCAACAGTTTTTACAGATTTCTATCTTCCATTAACATCAATTAATACTTCTATTTGTCATTCTTGATACCTGTTTGTGGTAAACCCACAGGACCACAGTTTAAAGATTTTGTGCCAAATATTTACAGACTTTTTTACCCGCAATAGAGGAATTTAAAAAAAACTTCAAATGTTCAATTTTAGCATTAGAACAGCACCGATCTCGTTTGTGTTTTTCAGGTATATTTCTAAAAACATATTTTTAGATCACGTTTAAGGCGCAATTCATTAAACCTGTTGGAATATTTTTTTTAAAGTGTTTTCAATACATTTTCTGAAAAATCGTTTTCTGTCTAATTTCTCTCTTTACCACCACTATAAATTTGGTGGTCTTGTGAAATGGACATTTCTGCTCAAAATGCCAAAATGTGATATAAAGAAAACTGTCATCTTTTAGAACACCCTAAAAACCATGATAAAAATAATGATGGAATTTAAGTTTGGCTTTTCAGAACACTTTGAGAAAGAGAAATATCCACAAAAATCTTTATTTAAAAAAAAATCCTATATATTTTAATAAATTTAAAAGGTCACTCCAGACCCATACATAACTTTAATTTGCTCATGTGTGTCTGGAATCTGTCATTTTCATGACTATTTATAAAAGTGCAAATTTCTATAGAAATGTGCATTTTTATAACTGGAGGCAGAACCCCGTCCTAGGCTGTGAATCAGACAGGAAAGTTTTGTTCCACTTCCTTTAGCTCCACAAAGCTAACAGAAGTGACAGGTGTGCTGGGCTGTAGAGTTCCTGCCTTACCCCCCCTTCTCAATGAGCGGTACTACAGCTGTATAGCAATGCATTCTTTTGCCACCGAATGCCCCAAAAGAACAGAAGTACAGCAGTGCACTGCATGGTTTAACCCCACATATCCAGATTACAGAGGTACAGCAGTGCACTGCATGGTGTAACCCTACATATCCAGATTACAGAGTTACAGCAGTGCACTGCATGGTGTAACCCCATATATCCAGATTACAGAGGTACAGCTGTGTACCCTATAACATGGATGGACTTTAATTTGGGAAATATGGCCATGCAACACAAAGTAGAGGCTGTAGCATTAGAAATGAGGCTGCATGCCTGCATTAGAGTGATGGATGCAAACAGGGTTGTTCACTAAAGTGTATCTCAAATTTAATTCACTATAGTCACCAGAACAACTACAGATAAATATAGTGTGGATAGGATGTCCCTGCAGGCTGTGCACAGTAAACACTGCCAGGTCAGAGCAAAGGCAGTGTTTACATTACTGCCTAGGAACACCTCTAGTGGCAGTTACTCAGACGGCCAATAGAGGTGCCTTCCTAGTCCAGTGCTATATGGTGTGTGCCATCCAGGGCCAGCCTTTAGGCGCCCTGTGCGAAAAATCTTCACAGTGCCCCCCTTCCTCTCCCCGTCATCCACGTATAGTGTGTGTATAGGAGTGTAGTGATTGTATTTTTTAAAATATATGTAGTTCCGCCTCACATTTTAGCTGTAAATGTCATAATACTGTTAGCTTTTACTGTAAAAAAAAAAAAGCACAGATTTGGATTCAGCAAAGTGTCACAAGTACAACAGTCCTCCCCCACCATTAACAGTTTTTACTGTGTTTTGGAAAGTTAAAGGGTCAAATATAGCACATTCAATTTTTCAGTTTTTTCACATTGAAATTTGCCTGATTAGTAAGGTTACCTTTGAGACTGTGTGGTAGCCCAGGAATGAGATTTACCACCATGATGGCATACCATTTGCAAAAGTAGACTACCCAAGGTATTGTAAGTGGGGTATGTCCAGTCTTTTGTAGTAGCCACTTAGTCACAAACACTGGCCAAAGTTAGCGTTCATATTTGTTTTTGTGTGAAAAAAGCAAAAAAAATAATATTTGGCCAGTGTTTGTGACTAAGTGGCTACTAAAAATGACTGGACATACCCCGTTTGCAATACCTTGGGTTGTCTACTTTTGAAAATGGTATGTCATCATGGGGGTAATTCTTATTTCTGGGCTACCATACGGTCTCAAAAGGCAACATAACCAATCTGGCAAATTTTAATGGGGCAATGAGATGAATTAGGGAATGTTGCATCATGGGAAATAGTAACCTACACAAGAGCGTCACAGAATATGCGAGGCAAATGATCGTGTGTTGCATACCGGTAAACCACATTTATTTAAAATATTGCTTGGAGCTCTTTAACATCATTGATTTTCAATCTTTTTTTTTTTTTTTCTGTCAATAAACAATAATTGAACATATGAATTGCCTTTCTGAACATATTTAAACGAAAAATACATTAATTTCTTTCTGGAACACAAGAAACAGGCTGCAGTAATGAAAGGGTGAATGGTTTAACATTTGACTGGGTAAAGTAATTATTTTGTCGTTAGAACGTTAGTTATGCTGACAGAACAGCACCCTCTACTGATGGTAGTAAGTAATAACACCAAGGCTCTTTAGTGCAGTGTACTAAACTGCATGTTTTATAATAGCCTCTACATGTATTATTTTGTGATGCACATGTATAAATTAATTCCACTTTTCAATGCATCTCATCCTGGATGTTTTAAAACGACTTCCTAGTTCCTTGATGCTTTGTCATTCTAAAGGCATGCAAACATCATGGGAATTGTATTTCTACAACATTTGAAGATCTACCTTTTGAGCACCACTGTAGTATACGATCACAAACCCTATTTTCCAGACTTTTAATTGTATGTCCTACACTACTAGCCATGCCTTAAAAGCTGTTGCCACTGCAAGCCTGAAGGATCCATGGCACGCTTAAAATGGGTGAATTTCTACCAGCCAAAGTTATATTTTCACTCATCAGTGGCTAGTGGTGGGTGGAAATTTTGAGCCTTGCTGTTGTCATATGCATATACACTGGGTAAGGGGTGCTTCTGAATGAAGAGGATTTAAAAATGGCCGCTCCCACGAAGCAAGAGTAAGCCATGAGATGCCCTGCTAACAGATATCTACATACAGTACAAAATTATACACACAAGGCTATTAACTAAATTGGCAATTGTGAGTAATTTTAAGTAAAATTGAAGTGACTAAAATGCTATGCGAGAATAGCTGAATTGGGGGAAGGGGGGTGGATCTAAGTCTGCGTTGTTTCAGCTGTACTATTTCGACGTATAATTTAAAACTCACTTTAAAGGGACACTATAGTCACCAGAACAACTACAGCTTATTTAATTTTTTCTGGTGTGTTTGAATCATGCTGGCTCTGCCCCTGATCTGCCTCCTTGTCAGTCTCAGCCAATCCTATGGGGAAGCATTGTGATTGGATCAGGCTACCACTTCTGATGATGTCAGCAGACTGCTTGTTTTTCTGAGTCTAACAGCATGCAGAGTTACAGCATCAGGCTTGAATACAGTAAGATTTTGCTATATTTATGGAGGCATGAGGTGCCCCGGGGGGCTAGATGGTGGTTTTAAAACTATAGGGTCAGGAATACATGTTTGTGACCCTATAAATATTCATCAATTCACAGTTTGGTGAATATCTTTGACAGAGGTTCAATACAACCCAGTAATCCCTAGAAACATTCATATATTGGTTTTATTTTGGAAAATGCATTTACTAACTAATGTCTAGTCAGAGGAGAAATAGCAGTATTTATAGA